TGGATGAACTTCATACTTCGTATTTCTCCTTTACTGGAGAACCATATGACTGAGGATGGGAAGGGTCAGCTCTGTTTCCTGATACATCTCGATCTCATTGTAGAGGTACTCAGTAAATGCTTGATGAAGGAATGAAGGAGTGAATGGCTGAGAATGAGTGCCTGGTACTGTCCATGGAAACTTACTCTAAACCTTACTGTGAAGCTAACATAGGCATATTTTCTCCTTTAACCCCAATTCCATAAAGGTGCTACATGTTTTCATTTGATAAAATGAACTTATTCTTTCCTCATTCTTCTGCATAAAATTGATGCAGTGATTATGGTAGCCTGAAAGAAGACATGTTTGGGCTGCTATAAAAAATATCACATACTGAGTGGCGTATTCACAACAGAGATTTATTTCTCACAGTTTTGTAGGTTGGAAGTTCGAGATCAGGTGGCCAGCATGGTCAAAGCCTCTTCTGGGTTACAGACTTCTAATTGTGTTCTCACGTGGTAGAAAGGGAAGGGCTCTCTCTGAGGGTCCTTTTATAACGGCACTAATCCTATGCATGAGTCATGAGGACACCACTCTCAGGACCTAATCCCCTCCCAGGGGCCCTACCTCCTAATACCATTATAATGAGCATTAGGATTTAACAGGTGAATTTTGGAGACACTCCAACATATTCAGACCACACACACCATTGCTGCTGGGTGTGTGGACAGATGACAGCGCTTAGCTGAATCCCACTCACCAACCTCCACCCCGGAGGTTGCCCTTTGCTGAGGGGATCACACACCTTTGCTGTGTGCAGCCTGCACCAGATGTTCAGTGTGGAGACAGAAAGCCCTGGCTGCCATGCTCCAGTTTGGGACAACTGTGCAAGGACACATCAGCACCAAATATCCTCATGGGAAAATCTGACTTTTGTTGTGACTACATCACCGCCCAACGTTTCCTTCTGCTTCATGCTACTTTCTTCCTCGCCCCACAGGTTCCGAGAGTGCTCCCCACGAAGCTTCCTGCAAGGAAACTTGGTCTCAGAGTCCTCTTCCTGAGACACACGATGTCTCACATAACATGTTTGTCAATTTTAAAGCTCTTACTTCACCACCACTAGAATGATGTCAAATCGTATCTATTTTTTTCTTCCTTGAGACTTAGCTAATACCACATTACCATATTAAGACCACAGGGCCTAATGTAGAAATTAAATCCTGCTATTATGGCTTAGCGCATTTTTTGGATATTAAAAAATTAAAGTCTGGATTCCACACAACTTTTCATAACAAGCTATAGGGATTAAGCTGTACAAGTAGCTTAGCCCTTCAACACTTCATTCTCTGTTACTTCCACTGCTAGTGTGACTCCGTGTTTCATCATTAAGTCTGCAGAAACCATGACCTCTTCTTGCAGAATGGAAAGAAAAGAATGACACACCAGCTTTTCTTAGAAACGGTTTGGAGGAGAGTGAAGCTTCTTCATATTTACAGAGATGTGATTTTTAAAATTAATTCATTTCTTGGATTTCTAGAGTACCTTTTATTCAAAGGTTTGAAACTCAAACGAAGTTTTTAACTTTCTCTTTTTTTCTATGCTCTAGCTTTCTCCACGTAAAAATACCATCATTGCGAGTGTGAGCCTGATGCATTCTACTTCCTATTTTATTTTTCTCTGTTGAGAAAATCACATTCTTTAAGATCGATTTCTGGTGGTTCTGAATAATGGTGTTCTGTAGTGTAGTTGCAGTGTCGATGTGGCTGTGTGAGGGGGTGAGCCATGTTTACTAGGCCACCGTCTTCCACACACTTTCAGAAAGGTGAAATAAATAGGGCTGGTTCCAAACTCGATTGTGAAACAAAGTTTGTTCACGACGAGCCTCTAGCGTTCTGTGGTGGACTGTTTCCCTTTGTGGTTCTCTTCCCCAAGTCTGAGGCCTCCTCAGCCCACTACCAGCTTCCTGTCCGCCCCTCTCTCCAGCATCCTTCTTCTTTATCCAGCTTTCCCTGTTCTGCTGTTCTCTCTCCGTGACCCAGAATCAGTCTGATGGTTCCCATGCTGCCCATTGTCACTATAACAGAAACTTCCGTGTTGTATTACAGTTCACGCCCAAAGCCAGCTTTTCTCTCTTACGAGGCAGTTTGGCCTGGCACACATGTAACTGATTACTAAATATTGAAATGAGTGAGTGAGTAAATAAACTGCTCTCTCAATACACTACCTCCTAGTGGGAGGTAGGAGTAGCTCCCTATCCTACCTCCACCTACCCCAGGTGTATGTATATTAACAGAGGCCTGATAAAAACAGCATACCTTCCTTTCTACCATAACCAAACTAAGTGAGTTGGGAGAGGAATCCTATGACTGGTTGTTGTTAGAATATTCTATTCACTATGCCCTTCTGATGCTTTGACATTGGGGCCTTATGAGGCTGGAGAGATTGCTCCTCCCAGAGTTAGCTAATTCCCAGAGAGTCAACGACTCACCTGCTTGAGTGTCTTTCATATGCAAACCCACCAATCTGGAGCCCATATCCCAACCACCTCCTTTGCTAAACTCTCACAGGGCTCACACCTGGGCCAGCATCCATGTGTCCTAATCATCTCTGGGTCAGGTTCCAGAAAACTCAGGACAGCTCTTGTGCCTCAGAACCTGCTGAAATTATTCAAACCAGCCAATCTTGCTTCCCCTGCCTTGCCTGCTTCTTTCTATGGAAACCACAACAAAGTTCCATGTCTCCTCTTTGCTCCTCCTGCCTCCTGACCAACCCTGGTGCTTCCTCATGTGTCCCCCTGCATGGCATAACAGCTTCCCTCCTCTTGGGACCTGTAACAAACTAACAAATCTTTTTAGTGGCAATTGTCTCCTGATCTGTTGGCCTCACCATACCTGAATAATAATAATAATAATAATAATAATAATAATAATAATAATAAAACTTATGTTTTAAAACAGTTCCCTGAAATACTTCTGTAATCTCAAGTGTGAAGTCTCCCCTGCTAATTCTGTTAAGGTCCTGAAGAAAGACTCTCCTTTCCATAATTTTCCACTTTGGAGAAATGACTTCTACTCAGAGAAAGCAGTTTAGTATTAAATTTTTAAAACGTAATGATGGTCTTTATTTAATATGTATTATTACCCTGGGATCTCGAAAAACAAAACAACAAACCCAGCTATGAATTACGGTGTTATTCGAAATGACTGAATTCAAAGATACAAAGCGATCTGCTCAAGATCACCAAAGAGGTGAGATTCAGACGCAAAAGCTTTCCTGGCGCTCCTCTGACTCGTGCCCCGCCCCTGCTCCTTCCTCCTATCGTGGCCTTCCAAGCCTTCCAAAATCTTTTACAAAGTTTTCTTGCACAACATCTCCATCTCCTTCATACTTGGGAAACAAAGTATGGCAGTCTTTTCAACGAGGGCCAATAAATGATTCCACAATAAAACATAGCTGAGATATATCTAGATATTTCAACAATAAACAGCCTTGGTAAATGAATGTGGAGTTTTAAGAAGATACTACCAAATGGTAGAGAGATTCTATACATGACAAGCATATAATATTAAGCCTGATCTTTAATGAGTGAATTGGAACTTTCACAAATCTTCTTTTTGAAGAAGTTCCGTTCTTTGTTAATGAGGCTCCAGAGCTACAAAGAACAGGACTGGCTGGGAAGGAGACAGGAACAAAATACCTTGCGGTTTTGGTAAAACACGAACTGAGAAGGAATACTTAAATTCGGTGTTGTAAAGATAAAAAGTAAGCATACAAAATTGTTATTGAATGCCACCAAGCAGCAAAATACACAGTTAACATGTTAAAACCCATGTAGTCAGTGTTGACATAGTTATTGGGGAGAACCCTTCAAGTACAATAATGGAAAAATTAACCCAATATTGAGCAAAACGCAGATCATTGAAATTTAATCATTAGCATTTACCAAACTGGTACAACAGTTTGGAATTTCACTGTTTTAAGCAAAAAGGAGGAAAAGTTGAGAAAGAGGGGAGAGAAAAACATAATAAAGTAAATCAAATAATTTGGAAATTATAAATACGTTGGTTAAAGTGCTGGGTTGTGAGTATGGAGAAAAGTAGCCTGGATAAGGGGGCTTGAGGGCAACCGACCAAGTGTCCAGGTCACTGCCTGGAGATGGTGACTGGCAGCTGGTAAGAATTTCCCGGAGTGTGAGTGAGAAGAAACAAGCTTGTGTGGCTGGGGGTCCTCAGCTGGACAGCAGGAAGATTTCCTGACTGTAAATGTCAAGAGCTCTGGTTTACAGGATCAAAGGGAGGCTTCTGGGATGTGCCTGTCCTTGGAGTATTTTTCAGCCTCAAGCAGCAGACTGTTTGGGTGGTTTTCTGCAGCCCCGTGGATAGACTGGACGGTTTGCTCAGAATCCACCCGTCTCATGTTGCAGAGAGGTGGGCCGTACACAGCTGCTTTCAGTGTACTTGCCAGCTGCTGACTCCCAGCTCAGAGGCTAAAGGGAACAACTAAGTCTTTCACACTCTGTTCCTCACTTGGACCAGTCCTTAGGTGTACGCTGTGGTTTTTCAGCTCTTGAGCACTTAGGTACTTTTCTTCTGAGCCAAGGGCCTCCTGGGAACAATGTAGCATTTGTGTGTTGACAGTAACAGCCTATGAGCCAGAGACACTTGGCCAAACCCTCCCTCCCACGAAGGGTTGGATGGCACATCTCACCTGCAATAATCTGGGCTGAGTCAGCACTAGCTGGCCCCACCGCCAAAGTGCTCCCCTCCTCCTACCTCTTCCCTAACCTGTTACCTGATTCGAGTCTGAGCAATTTGGCTATCTTTACAAGAATCCTCCCGGAGGATGGTCTCTGCCCACCTCCCATCCCACCCACGGAGTGAACAATAACAAATTAGTGGCTTGTAGCCTGACAGTGGGCACCAAATGGTGAGGTCCCTACCACTTAGTTGGGCAGCTGGGTATTTACAAAAGGTTTGCAGAGAGATGCCAGTCTTTTCTTATAACATTATTGCCTTTTATTGTGCAGTTGTGGATGTACATGTGGAGTTAGGGATGCTAAACAAGCATTGAGTTTTTACATGGTCTGTTTCTGTTGAGTTCAGAACCTTAGGAACATCATTTGACTTCTGGCAAGAAGACCATTCCAGAAAGGAGTCTAAAACCATCCTTTTGATTTTGGGCCAGAATCAGAAGCAGGATATGTACTTATGAAGAAACTAGAGTTTCAACCCTTAAGTAACACTAATAGAGAAGAAATTATGTTATGTGTAAGTCACCTGCAGTGTCCAAATACAATACGAAATGATAAATCAGAACATTTCCTTTGAGGCATGTCTATTCTTCATAGTGGTACCATATACTTCTCTTAAAGCCTTCATCCAGTGGTATCATGGTGGTACTGCAGTGTATGGGTCTGTGTGGTATGAACGTGTAAGAGAAAGTTGGATAGGTAGTGAGAGCGTGTAGGCAAATTAAAAGAAAGCACAAGGAGAGTAAAGGAGATTGTAAGGAACGAAACGGAGCTGTGTGTGTGTGCAGGGTCAGATGATTTCCTTGCTTAGTGTCTCTGAGGTTTGGGTTGCCCCTGTTTTCAGCATAAAGTAGATACTTGGTGGCGTGCAGAAGTACCAGAGATTTCAGAGTTCCACCTTTTGAGTCTTTTCTTCTGATTCATTGTCTTCTCTCTGAAAAACACCATGACATGCTATTTAGATTTGGAGTCTGTTCTTGTGTTTTGAGCTATAAGATTAGAAAATGTTGTTTGAGCTGTTTAGTTAACACTGGAAGTTCCAAATCTACCTGCAATTTTTATCTCATGAAATCTTTACATGGAACTGGATTTGTTTCCCATGGGTATTGTGCTCAGTATGGTGAGATCCCAAATTCAGCTCCTTTGAATAAACAAGACCTTTTCAAACATGCTTTTGTAGTTCTATTCCGAGGACTATATCCTCACAAGCATCCAGGCTCCATCTACCATGTTCTCATATACCTTTGCTCTTAATGAAATCCAGTGGAGCCAAAGAATTTTTATTCAAAAGGAACTACCGGGGATCTAGAGAGGCAGAAACTCCGCTTGCCTTCCCTGCAGTCTCACACTCACCGGCCAGTTCCCTTTTAGGAATCCATCACAAAAGTTTTGCACAAGCTCTACTGAAACTTCAGCCATGGGCCGTGTATCCCACTCCTCCTCGGGACTCCGGTAAATCGCCAAAGCAGGCAGTTCGGACGTCTTTAGTTTAAAATATGATATCACCTTCTCGTTTTCCTTTATTCCACTGTCCACCAGAATGAAAAGAATCTGCAGTTGGGGAAGGTGGAAAGAGAGCTCTGTCTGAGGTCCTGGGGGGAAGGAGGCATCTCGTAATTGTGGCAGTTCACTCAGACTGGATTTACGGTTTGTGCCGCACAAATGACCTCTCGGTTGAACCAGAATGAGTGTGTGTTTGTTTTGTATTGCTTAGGTATGTTATCCCTTCAATCGTGTTGATTTAATTTCAAGAACAGGGGATTGAAAGAGACTTTAGGGGTTACCTTTAGTGATTAAGTAAATAGAGCCTATTGGTTAAAAGCAGAGAATAAATTTTAAACTTTGTCTCTGGTACTATTTAGCTGTGTGACTCTGAGCACATTACTTAGCCTCTCTGAGACTCAAGTGTTCTCATGGCCAAAATGGGCTTTTGTTGGAGATTAAATGAGAGGATTCATTTAGTATTTCTAGTACAATTTCTAGCATACAGTAAGTGCTTGACAAATGTTAACTATTCTATATTATTAGATCAAACCTTCTACCTAAAGTAGAAATCTTATAATATTGTGGTTAGAGAATTATCTAAATTCAGTAACGCTGACAACTTATTGTGTTATGAAAACAACCATCAGAAAGTTAGCTTATTTTATTATCAGGTAGTTATCATCAAACAGGTAATTTAGTTCAATGCAGTAACCTTGAAGTTGTTGAAGTTTTACTGTTTGGTGACAGCAAGTGGAACTACATTGTTTATGTATTTACTGTCCCTTAGCCACCAGGTGCTGAACGTCCATTAGGCTCCAGGAATGTGGTAGGTGTTCGGTATGAGAAATAAGTCCTGAGGTCTAAAACTTTAAAAGACTAGGGTAAGAAGAAAAACATTGTAACGAATAGGTAATTTTTATTTTCAGTATCTTTGAGTCTCTGTTTTGTCTTCACTTGTCAATGTAGTGAAAGAGCAACAGACTTTACCACTAATGAAAGGCATAAGTACACAGGCCTGGAAGAGTACAAAATACATATCTTGAATTTTAAATCAGAGTAATGTGATTTAGTATGTCCCAGTTCTCGCTTTATTTCTTAACCATATTAGTTTTCCTTATCTATCTCACTCCCTTAGCCCCATTTTTCTTTTCCTACTGTGCTGGTGCTGAGTTTTCAAAAGGGTGTCTCCTAATCCAGACTTACCTTTCCTTGGAAGAGCTTAGCTGCCTTCTGGTAGCTGTGCATGCTTTCTTCATACTCAGGAGAGGCCTTGTTCATCATCAGAAGAAGATGAATCTGAATCACGCTATTAAATAGGCCAATCACAGTCTGGCAAGTTGAAATGGATTATAACGGAGTGAAAGAGAGAGGGAGAAAAAAGCCCATTAATGGTAACCCAGTGACTAGGTAGAGTGCAACAAAAATGAGAGCTGTTCACCCGTAACACGGTGGTAACTAGCCTCTCAGATCCTTTCAGTGAAGCTCACCCTCTGGTTTTCACACTGGGCTGATCTCTTTTCCCCACACTGAGTAGGGACCAGTGGAGTAACCAGTGAGATGTGGTGGAAATGATGGAGTGCGACGTCCAAGGTGCAGTCGTTAAAGGCACTGTGGTTTCTGCCTTGCTCTCACATCACTCATTCCAGGGAAAACTAGTCCCAAAGTTGGAAAGATTCACATGGTGAAGGACTAGGCCTCCTATTAACAGCCAGCACTACTTGCCAGTCATGCGATTGAGCCAGGCTGGAAGCAGATTCTCCAGCCCCGGTCACACCTGCAGATGACATTGCCTCCCTGACAAATGACTGTAACCTCACAAGAGGCCAAGAACAGAAGCACCTGGCTGACCTAGCCAGTTCTGAATTACTGACCCACAGAAACTGTGTGGAATCCATTTTTACTGTTTTAAGCTGCTAAATTTGGGAATAACCTGTTATGTAGCAATAAACAACAAATACAAGGGGGGGGAGTCAAAAAACCTGGAATTGATTTATAGAAAATTGTGTATTTATTCTTACATGTTCAAACTTCGGTCACCTTCAAAGTACTCTCCATTGGATGCAGTACACATATCAAGATGTGTACATTGCTCTGTAGAGACCCTCTTACTCTCTTGGCCAATGGAGAGGGGGACCCAAAATGGGTTCTTTCCCCCAAATTTTTCTCAGTAGTTTAAAACTAGATTTTAGATTTTCAATTTAGGATGCTGGATGTTAAATAATTGTCTCTTGCTTGATTAGATTCTGCTAGTTGAATTTAAAGCATGCATCTACTCTCCTAAAGTAGACAGGGAGATGATTCTTCAGAAGAGTCAAGAAGCCAAAGCTAAGAAGTTAAAAGTTACCTTTGTTTTAGTGGAAGGGATTAGACATATCAGAAGCGATTAGTTTAATACCAATAGACACAGCCTGATTCTTTGTCTGGAAGCCAAGGATTGAGTGTGTGCATTAAAAGTGCACAGCAGGCCAAATACTCACCTATGAGTTTCTGCCCAGTTGCTACTGGTGCAAACCTCTGCCCCCTGGGCACCTGAGAAATAGCTCTGTAGTGCGGGCAGGTCTCCAAATGAGAAAGGTATTACTTTAGGGAAATGAAGTCACAATAAAAGTTGAACTTGCTTCTCTAAAGAAATTTTTATTTAATTCTTTTTGAGGTGACTTACTTTCACAACTAACATAAAACTTTAAAAAAATGTCATTGTTCTCTAAGATAGAGATGGACTGGACATAAGAACTTGGACAAGTTCTTGCCCCTGCCTTAAGCCTCAGAACTCCAGGGCCCTGAGACCATAAACCCAGGGACCATAAAATCAGTCTTTCTGGTTCCACATGCACTCCTGGATGCCTGATAGACACAGTGATGGAAGTGGTGGTGGTCTAGGAGAAAAAAATGCCTTTTCAATGATTCCTGCCAATGCCCCCGGGATGCATGTGTTTGAAATCTTAGCAAAAGTGGAAATGGAGTCACCACTCCATGGAGACAAACATGGTGTGAGGGGGGGGACAGGAATTTAGTCAACAGGAAAAGGGGTGTTTTCTATTGAAGGCTGGGAGGGCAATGGAAAAACCACAGGATTCAGTCAGAGAGACCAGTCATGAAAAAAAGAAGGGACAAGTGCAGAAAGGGCTGTCTCTGAAGCTCACATTTCCAGTCATATGACTTTGAGGAAATTGCTTTGCTTTTCTGCACTCCGTTTCCTGTCCTGTCACATGGAAATAGACAGTGCGAACTAATGCATGATGAGTTCAATGTGCTGCCTTTAATCAAGCCTTTTCTACTAATTGTGTGATCTTGAATGAGTCAGTTGGATCTTGAATGTTTCTATAAAATGGGCATAATAATTTACTTCTACCTCAAAAAAAATCAATGCAAAGATTCAATTTGAATATGGTAGGAAAGGGAGTTGTCATTTCTAAAAATCATGACATGCATGTAAATAAAATATTGTTCTTAGAGAATGCATAGTGGCTCTGAGCTGATGTAGATCACCAGAAATTAATACCGCATCACGCCATGATCTCTGCCAGGAAGAATAAAAGGTGGGCTATTAAACTCTATAAGCTATGGAGTGTCAGAAGGCCAGAAGATCATCAGGACAAGTAGACCAATGGCTTATCCAGGCTGCATACAGCAGGCAACACTAAAGGAAGACAAACCTGGAAAGAAAGCTGACTCACCTGGAGGGTCTAGGTATGTGCGGGTAGAGCCAGACCTGGAATTTTTAATTACGAAGCACTGGGAAAAAGTGCCTAAAAATTTTCGTAGAAATTTTATGTAACTGCGACATCCAAGTATGTGATCAGTAGGCTTTATTTTTTAAAGATTTTTTTGTCTATTGATGTATTTTGCTGCACTTTTAAGAAGTATTGGTTCCTGATGCTTTCGGGAAACAAGGGGCCTTCAGCATCGATTGTGCTGTGGTTTGAGAAGCGTGGTCTGGAGCGTTGCTGGGACCAGGCTGCCCTCCTGGATCACTGTCAGGCAGCAAAACTCAGGAGTTTTTGCATCAGTCGCCTTAACGTTGCATTACAGCTCTTTTTTATTAGTCATGTGATAGGTCATTTAACTTTTCTGATTCTGTTTCTTTGTTGAATAGGGGCAAGTCCATCAACCTTAAAGGTTGCAGCAAGGATGACAACATAAACAACTAAGGTGTTGGATTAACTGCAGATACTCTTGCTATTGGTCAAAGGATCAGAACTCCTGGGGGCATAGATCTCTGCTATGAGGACAAGTATCCTCCCTGACACAGGGACTTTAGGGGCTGGAGGCAGGGGCTGTTGTTTACCACAGGATTGTACTCTGTCACCAGGCGGAGACTGTTGATCTCAATGAAACGGCTTAATTTGTTGGCATCAATGTTTTTAATGGCTTCACTCTCTAAATTCAGTTGTCCGTTATCCACCTGAGAGGCACAAAAAATAATGAAATTGTCATCATTCTGTCTTCATTCATTCATTGGCAAATGTTTCTGAACTACCTACCCTGTGTCAGGCACTGACTAGAACTCCAAACACAGAAAGGTAAATAGGAAATGTTCCCTGCCCTTGAAGAACACACTGTCCTGTGGGACCCAGAGAAGTGAACAGACATGACCCACAGGATGTGGCAAGTGTCATCACAGGCCCGAATGTTATCTCAGGAAGAGCAGAAATGCCTTCAGAAAGCGGTGTCTCTCTTAGAAAGTTGAAAATGCATCCATAAGTTTTACATGTAGGTTACCTCATCATTCGGTTCAAAGTGTTTTTAAATATCTGTTCTTATTTCTTTTCTAAACTTTTCTTGTTATTAATTTCTAGCTTAATTTTTACATTTTATATCTTTTGTCAACTTCTATATATGTTATTTGTGTCCTTGAAACTGCGTATAGTTTACACAGTTTTTGAATGAAGCATTCCTTCCGTATGTGCACATGCAGTCACATGGTTAATTTTATTACATTCTCATTGACTTTTAAAACCAGCTTATTCTATGAAGAGAGGAGTCTTAAAATATTCTGGTATGATTGTAGATTGAACCATTTTTCTTAGAGTTCTGTCAGTTGTTCTGGCTCTATTGTCTCAGGTGATATCAATGCAAGTTTAGAATTCTTAAATCTTCTGGACAGACTGAAAGTTTATCATTAAGAAGTGTCATTCTTTATCTCTAAGGATGCTTGTTGCCTCAAAGTCTGCTTTGCTTAGTGTTAATATACTTATTCCAGCTTTCTTTTGGACGTGTTTGCACCATATATCTCTATCCTCTTATCTTCATATTTTACTTGTGTCTCTGTGTGGTTATGTCTTAAAATAATGTGTCCCTTATGAAAAGCACATTGTTATATTTTTAAATCCAGTCTGGTAGTCTGTTTTTTAATCTGTTATTTTTGTAATGTACTTAGTAATACTTAATTAAATATTCATTTTCCATTGGCTCTGCCTGTTCTGAAGTCCTTTAAATTTTTTTCTAGCCTATTTTGAATTGATTGAATACTTTTGTATTATTTGTTCTTTTCCTTTATGAACTTAGAAATTACAGAGGCTTTAATTATTTTTTTAGGATTATATAACGTGCATTCTTTACTTATCAGAATCTAACATGAATTGATCATTTTAACTTCTTCTTGGCATTGTAGACATTAGAACATTCTAATACAGTTTGCCTCCTCACAAGTCCATTCCCTCACCTACGCTTAAGACTTAAAGATGATTACTGCTGTGTGTTTTAATTCTAAATCTCACAAGACATTCTTATTGTTGTTACAGAGTCAACGTACATTTACATTTATGCCTACACGTACATTTTGTTTGTTTTCATTTCTTGCTGTATTTTTGAGCTTCTCTCTGGAATTTTTTTCACTCCTCCTAGAACAACCTTTGGGATTTCCTTTAGCATGAATCAGTTCTGCTGGGTGACATCCTCTCAGTTGGGCTTGTCAGATATTTTTGTTTCACCTTTACTTTTGAAGGTTATTTTTGTTGGGGGTAGAATTCTAAGTTGATAGTTATTATCTCTTAGTTTTGCAAGATACAATTCTTTAAATTCTGCATTCCACTCTTTCTATTGAAAAGTCATTTGTGAATCTTAATAATACTCCTTTGAGATTACTTTGAGAGTAATTTCTCTTTTCTGATTTAAGATTGTTTTCTTTTTCTTTGAGGGTCAGCTATTATATATGATATGGCTAAGAGTAGATTATATATATGATTATATATATAATTAATATGTCTACAAGTGTATGTATGTATGTATTTTTATATTCATATATGATAAACCTAATCGAATTTCAGAAATTAAGATGATTTAAGTCCATGCTGCAGCTTGTGGTTTATCCTTATTTTGAGAGTATTTTTCTGTGGGGTCTAAAGTAGAGCAAAGGGTATTTTGCTAGATTTGCCTTGTACTTCCTCTTCTGGGCTCTAGACTTCAACATTTACTTTTCTGGCTCTTTATTAAAGTTTTCTAGTAAATGCTTTATTAAATTTTTTTAATTAAAAATTTATTAATTCAAAAAATGCTAATAAAGCTCTTAGCTTTTTGGCTGCTTCTCCTAGAACCCACAAAAGCCTCCCGGATGAAAAGCACTCCTGATGATACAGGGTGCAGCCAGGGGGGGCCCCCCAAAAAAGATTTGGAATGGTGTCCAGAATTCAAAGTGTATAGAAATATTGGAGAGACATATAAGATGTCCTCACCCCCCCCCCCAGGGGGAAGAAAGAATGGAGCCAGGGCCATTGAGAGCTATTTTGCATAGCAACAGTTTTGGAGCTAACCTCTGGAGGAATGGTTATTTAACATATCTATAACCTTTAACTGGTTTCATAGATATGTTAAATAGCAGTGGCCAAGTTGGGAGCCAGAGAGAAGGAACTGAGCAGGGACTCAGGATGGAAACTAGGGGCTGTGCTCCTGAGAGAGAAGGAACTAGCAGAGACTCAGAATGTAACTAAGGGCTGCTCTCCTGAGTGAGAAAGGCTTGGACTCAGGAGGATGTAACTAAAGTCTGCACTCCTGAGTGAGAAAGACTGGGACTCAGGAGGATGTAACTAGGGGCTGCGCTCCTGAGTGAGAAGGCCTGTGTGAGAGCTTGGAAAAGACTGGCTCCGAGACATGAAGGGTCCCCGCTTGGCCAGATGGAGGGAGAGCCACACGGTTTCAGCAGAGTGAGGACCCCCTCTTGGTGAGGTGAAAGAGGGAGCCACGTGGTTTTGGCGGAGTGCGGACCCCCTCTTTCCCAGTTGAAAGGGAAAAACCACGCAGCTTTGCCAGAATGGAGATCCCTGCAGCCAGGTGAAGAAGAAAGCCACATGGTTTTGGTGGAGTGCGGACTCCTGCAGCTTTGGTAGAAGAGGCCCACGCGGCTTTGGGGTGCCCCCTCTGGCCGCGGGGCCTGAAAAGCAACAGAGACTTTGACTGGAACTGGGTACAAAGGACTCTTGCCAGTGGACCATGAGAGGGTACCACAGTACTTTGGATTAACTGGAGATCCTGCCTGCACAGTGACACAGCTGACGGTGCCAGCGGCCTGAAAAAGGGACGTGTGCTCTTTTCCTGATTTACGGTACCCGGAATTGGGACAGTGGGAGAAGGGAGCGCTGTGTGGGTGTAGGTGTATACCCTAAAGGACTTTGATATTTTAGTGGTGGCATTAGGCCTGAATAGCATTAAATAAATATTTTGTTTCCTTTTCACAAATCTCTGGCTTTAAGAGATGTGTTTCCAATTGGCGGCGGACAGAAGGGCCCAGTAGATTTTAGTATTTTGGTTTTCGGGAGGGGCCCCTGTTGTATAGCAGTTTTGGGCATCCCTAGGTGGGCCAAATATTGTATTGCCCCTCCCTCGGACCACCTCCTCTTGTTCGGTAACACTGATACACAGAGTTTACCTTTTGGGTTCCTTCCATCTTCTAGATCTTAGTCCAGCCATTTTCCCCTCTTAATAATTCTTGAAAGCCCTCATTTTGGGCCCAGCTTTTAAAAAAATTGCCTTTTGTGGAAGGGATTGTCTAGTTAACTGATTGAATATCCAAGATACACATTTTAGAACTACCTTTCCACCTTACTCAGATATATTAAAAGATAGGGTTTCATATGGCCACTGTGCCCAGCTTTTCTCATTCATCTTTCCCAGTCTACTTGTGCCCATAAAGACACAAGGTAGTGCTTCCATCACCCATAGCAACTATATCTACGAATAAAAATTATCAGGGCTAGTCCTGAATAAGTCTGTTTCCTAAAATATCATTATTATCGTTTGGGTCACTTTTGAGATTCTTGGGCCACTGACCCTTTACTTCTCTTTAACCTCTTTCCCTTACATCTACTATATTGTTTCTACCCAATCAGATCTTGCCATGGATCTGAACTATCCTTTACTGCAAGAAACCTCCTTCAGTCTACCCAGCAAAGTCAAAGGTAAGTATCATTTTAGTCTATGAATGATGGAATTCAGGCAAGGGTGACTCAAAGTCACTAAACAATAGAAGTCCAGTCCAAGATTGTTCTTTATTGTCACCACTATAGTGACTCCATTTTTCAGGGTGTTCAAGGTGGGCTCCCACTAGGTCAGTGAGAAGCAGTGTGGACCTTCCAGAAGCTCAGTGTACTCTTTATGGTTAGTTTTATTAATTCTTGGCATAGCTAATCATTCTTTTATAATCCATTCATTTGTTTATGAATTATTTGTTGAGCGCTTTCTATATGTGAGGCTCAGACATGCTGATATTCACTCAAATACAAATTTTACCACTTTATTTGATGACTGTTTTCACAACTCAAATCTATCAAATAAGTACTGAGGTACAGAAAGTGTTTGTATTTCAAAAAAGAATTTTGAAAAAAATTAATCAAAACCATAGGATATTTTAAACTGTGAACTCCCTTTGTATATTTAATTGTTTAAAAATTCCAGAAGTTCTGGGTAGAAAGCTTGAGCAGAAATATAAATGCAAGAGAAAAGGTTTTTCCAGGTGGAGTCCTGGCCCAGCCCACTACCATTCCCCTCCCCAGGTCGGTGAGAGTGAGGAGAGGAGCAAAATGAGCACGCAGATTTTTGCTGTGTAAGGATTAGCTTGCCAGCTGGCGCGTGTCTTTCATACTGAAGTGTTCGCTGATTTCTACCTTCAAAACCACTATTATGATCATCACAATTAGGGTCTTTAAAATACTTAATATGTCTGAACACTTCCCGATTATTTTTCTGGAAACTCGGAGGCGGGTACCTGCACCTCAGCTTGCACAGCTGTGCTCTGGGCAGGAGCCCCGCCCTCCAGCTCTATTTTCCAGGCAGTCCCTCACTCTTCCCAGAACAGGGAAAACAGGAAACACCAGTTACTGTAGGTGTTTCTGGGCTTAAGGAATGCAGCCCACTGGAGGTAGAAGATGTTCCGTGATAACATTCTCTAGGAAGCCAGGAGCTTTGTTAAAA